TATTTTAGACCCTTTTTGGCCCCTAATTCCTGAACGGTTAGGGCAATTACCCACAAAATGAATCCCAACCATCTACTTGTGGTATTGAACCTTGTGGTACAATTTCAGAGCAATCAAAATACTTATACACAAGTTATTGTCCTGAAACTAGAAAAATGCTTGTTTTGGACCCCTTTTTGGCCCCTAATTCCTAAATGGTTGGGACCATCACCCCCAAAAACAATCCCAACCTTTCTTTTGTGGTATTGAACCTTTTGCTAAAATTTCATAGAGATCCATACACTTTAACTAAAGTTATTGTCCGGAAACCAAATGTCCTTGTACGATGACGTTATAGCAATATACGACCCCAAAATTTTTTTGTGGTCTTTATGGTCGAATAAAAATACACTGATTACAGGCCCAAATAATGCTGCAATAGTTTGAACAAAATAATGTAGCAAATTGTCAAACTATAATATTTGTTGACAGTTGAAAAGTAGTATCATGTCAAACTTAAAAAATGTTGTATTTTACATTTCTAATTGCATTTTGTTTTTAGAAGTTATTTAGTGTTTTTCTTTTAATCGAAAAGAATAAAATTTAAATGAATTCACTATCAGAAATTAGAGGTAAAAAATGCAACAGACAAATGCATATACAGAACTAGAACTGGGAGTATAAAATTAACCTCACAGAAACAAGTTATTTATTTGAATTCCCCATCTAACTTAAAATAAAGGATACTGCAGATACAGCTAAGGTTGCTTCATACCTTGACTTACATCTAGAAATTGATGAGGGTTGGGTGAGAACTTAACTTTAAGACAAAAAAGATGATTTCAGCTTTCAAAACATGAACTTTCCATTTCTATGTACAAAATGTATCAACGTTCCAGCACTCCTTCATTTGGAGTATATACCTGCCAGTTGATACCATATTCCAAAGCTAGTAATTCCTGCCATGATTACCTAGACAGATGGTTGTGACTTACTGCAAAATTGTACTTTTTGTAACAAAGATAACATTTTCTTCCTGTTACATATATTGATTTTAGTCCTCAATATTTCTTAAAATTTCCTAATCAATAAAAAGATTTTTTGTGAATTCTGCAGCCTTCCTTTACATTTTCAATGTTTATAATTTCAGAAAATTAATGGAATCTTCTACACAAATTAAAGTCTAAACTGTTGTTTTCAGCCTAATCTGCTTACCCAGCCATTGTGGAAAATTTCAATAACAACTCATCTATCAACTAACTAGACTATTTTTTTATTTTTTTTAAGTACAGCAAACAAAAAAACAAGCAAATAACAACAGCAATAAAACACTAGACAAACATATTGATTTCAATAAAATTATTAGTTACAATTACATTACCAAAAAATGTAAATGTCTATTTAAGGTCAGCAATAAAACAATAGAAATACACCTTAATTTGCAAAATAATTTATTACATATTCATTCTTAGTGTAATATTGTTCTAGTTTATCTAACCTAAGATACCTTTAAACATGTTAAATTAACCATAAAATTCTATAATTTCTTTAAGGAGCCTTGGTAACATCAGATTTGGTAGGTATCTCATGATTTCCATGAGGTACCTCAAAGCTCAAAGCTGAAAAGCTCTGCATTCTCCTTGTGACTCAGCGATCATCAAAGCTGACAATTGGTGGTAAAAAGTTGCTTCATCCTTCCTTTAATTAAATTATTAATCACTACTTTTCACAGTCACTAAAAGGAAATTTTTAGTTGCCAATTTTCAATCTTAAAATTAATAAATTTATAGACACGATAGACAAAGATTGACACATTTATTGCAATAAAAAAACCTCCTTTTATCATGTTTATGCACTTCCTAATTTGAACTTGTTAAAACCTGCCCACCTGCCAAACACAATATACCTGAAAATTTGTCATTAACTAAATAACACAATGGATATGTAATGAGATTGACTAGAAGTAGGCTAGCATCGGAACTTGTTGTTATTTGTTCAGTAATTTTCAATCATCATATTTTCATTGATTACTGTAAATTCAGAAACATTTTGCATGCATTTCTGAAAGTACAGTATAAAACATTGTTATCCTAAAATTATTACATACATTATTTGTGTAGGTGATAATCATTTCATTACTAATTTTCATTTTCTCTCTGAATTGTAATTTATTGTAACCAAAATGAATGCATCACATATAAATTTCCCCTTCTTTTTTAACATGCAATTAACATATAACATTTGTAGAACATGGAGCAACAAACATGTAAATGAGTTGTTTCTGGTCCCTGTACCATGTAAAATAACACATTTCTTCTGTTTTTAGGTGAAAATGATTCATGTAAAGATTGGCCATGAAACATGCAGGATCATGGTTTGATTAAATTGTGTTAATCACAAAATGACTAATTTTAATTCTTTTCCTGGTCCAATCTTTGAGGAGAAACTCAAGGAAGTTAGCCTTGATGTACTTTAACATTTTAGAGACAAATCTTAAGACAATTTTTATTGGAGATGTTTTTGTTACACTATTTAAATGTCAATACTTGATGTATACGATTTCCTGTATTTTCAATCAAATGGTAAATCATTTTTGATTAAATATATCATGACAAAGACTATGTCCTTTAAAAAATTAAATTGTGACCTCAATTTCTCTAATGTCAAGGTCACCAGATGAAATGTGATTCATTACAAACTGATTTCATTTCTTTTCACTCAAGCTATACCTATGTATTATTAGATCTGTAAAATATAAGACATACAATAATGTGAACTTAAAACCTAATATCGAAAAATTGTACAAGATTTATCACCTATGTCTACAACTACAGACATTGACGGAGGTGCTACCAGATTCTTATTCCTTTAAGGAATGACTGTAATATATTTTCTGTCTATGAAGAAATAGCATCAAAAATGTGGTGCATACTGAAAAACTCATGTAGCAGGTTAATTGAAAGTGTGCACCGCATTTTTAGGTTATTTCGAATAGACAGAAAAAATATTACAGTCAGTCCTTATACATGTTATAATTTAATTCTAAATTTCATTTGTACGGAGTAAATCATGAAAAAAACGTTGATGACGTCACGGTCACATGACAAAATCATGTCTATGAGCTGATAGACAAATAAACTGTTAACACAGAGATATTTCTCGCCTTTTAGTTATTTTGGCTAAACAATCTCCATGGAAATGAGATGTGCAAATGCTATTACAACTGCATACAAAATACCACTGACTTATCATAAGTCATTCCCTTTAAACAAAACCTAAACACAAACATTAACTTGTAAACTATGTAAAAGTTTCAAAGTCAATGCACCATGATGAGGGGGTGGGGCTATATAATCTCCATGGAAATGAGACTTGCAAATGCCAATAAAATATCATTGACTTAACATTAGTGGTTCATCTTAAACTGATGTAATCACAAACTAATAAATGTTTACTAAGCAAATGTTTCAAAGTCAATAGACCATGACTGAGGGGTAAGGACCAAATATTCTCCATGGAAATGAGATGTACTAATGTTTATACAACTGCATACCAATTATCATTGACCTACCACTAATGATTCCTCTTTAACTGACCTAATCACAAACTAATACATGTAAACTAAGGAAAAGTTTCAGTCAATAGACAATGACTGAGGGGGCGGGGTCAAATAATCTCCATGGAAATGAGATATGCCAATGCTTTTACAACTGCATACCAAATATCATTGACCTACCACTAGTGGTTTCCCATAAACTGACCTAATCACAAACTAATACATGTCAACTAAGCAAAAGATTCAAAGTCAATAGACCATGACTGAGGGGGTGGGCCAAATAATCTCCATGGAAATGAGATATGCCAATACTTATACAACTGCATACCAATATGATTGACCTACCACTTTTGGTTCACCATAAACTAGACCTAATCACAAACTAATACGATGTTGACACCCCCGCTGGAAACAGTATACCTATGTCTAGCCTTTTGACTCTGTCAAGGCGAGACAAAAACTTTCAGCCAATCTGAAGATGTGTTACATCCAAAATCAAATTATTCTGAAATGCACTATGTTACCACCTAAAACTCACATATATTTACAGATATTTGTGTAGTTCTATAGCAGTTTAGATGTATATATCAAAAGTGTATGCCAGTTTCCTGTGTCCTGCCACGAATTAATATGGAATTTAGATTGGAAATTTTTATTTAAATTTTTTCTTATCAACAAAATTGGGAAAAAACACAGGTCCCAAGTCACAAGTTTGATCGAGGTTTACACAACACACACACATCCATTAATATGCTCATGCAAAATGGAACTTTTGACTTTATTTTGGCCAATATCTGAATATCATCACAAATATGACTCAATCAGTCAGCAGAAAATTGATTCAGACAACTCAAAAGACACTAACTGTTCTTCTTAAATATTTTATTGGCAAGGAAATAAATCTTCTAGGGTTGGAGATTAAACATAGGGTCTGTTGCTTGTAATTGGGAGATAGGAAGCAGATATATATATATATATATATATATTTCGCTGAACTAATTGAAAAGCATTTCCTTTACAAGCTTGGATACCAGCAACGTGAAAGACAATCACAACCCAGCTGTTTGTTTCTACATTAAAAGTACCCGAGACAAAATAAACCTTATGCTAGTTATTTACATTCTTTATTTCAGACTTTTGTCCATTCATTAAATATGTAGTGGTGACATAAAAAAAAGGTTTAGAAGCAAAATTTTGGTTTGTTTGTTTTAGCGTGCCGTACATAAACACATATCTGGTATCTGCCTTTGTTTATTTTTTTTTTTTTCAATGAATATATTCTTGATATCTTCTTTCTATAATTCCTTCACTACTACAGAATACATTGAACTATTAATTCATGGTTAAAAAAATTTCAAACCCCAAAGCCTATCTTAATAATAATTCTTAACTATTCATATTCTATTTTGGCCTGAAAGAATAGCTGATAGACTGTACAGGAGACTTGGTATTAAAATAGACCAACCTGTTAACTTTCTTTGGCTTTTTCTCTGGCTTAGCATGCTTTTCATGTTTAAGATTGTGTTTTTCAGGTTTTTCTTTCTCCCGTTTGATATTTTCTGGCAGAATTTGTTTTTCAGGTTTTCCCTGTTTTAAAATTTCTGGAAGTTGCTTTTCCTTCTCTCGTTTTATATTTTCAGGAAGCTGTTTTTCCTTCTCCCGTTTGACATTTTCAGGCAGTTGTTTTTCCTTCTCCCGTTTGACATTTTCAGGCAGTTGTTTTTCTTGCTTGATACTTTCAGGCAGTTGTACTTCAGGTAAGTCAAGAGAGTGATTCAAACTGTTGTTATTACTTATTGGTTCTTCAAAAAAATGAGAATTTAATCCTTGATTACTATTGTCACTGAATTCAAAATCACTGTTGAACTCTAATCCCGTAGAACTTCTTTCTCTCTTACAGGGTGGGGCAGCTACTGGAACAAATTGCTGGGCTGCTTGCTGGGCTACAAGTTGTGAATTCAAACGGGGTTTTCTAAAAAAAATAAAAAATAAAACAAGTCCAAACCAATTATTTACTACTTTTAACTTTATGTATATATGTATACATATGGAAGTCATATTCTAAAAATACACAATTGTAACTACATAAAATGTATGGTGAAAATTTATCCTTTTCTCCTATTTATATGAAAGCAATAATCTTAATGAATAAAATATATACAATAATCTTAATGAATAAAATATAATACAATAATGAATCTTGCTACAGTGTATCATGCTGATTGGTGAATTTTTTTGGCATGCATTATATGAAACTTGTGTTAGATAAAGGTGTTTACAATTAAGGGGAAAAAATTGATTTAAGTTGGTTCCTCTTTACTCAAAGTTTGCCCTGATGTTTGTAAATTTAACCTATGAACTATGATAATAATAAACATGAGTTGGATAAATTCTGTTTTTGGTTGTATGGTAATTCATTTATTTATGGCCTGGAAAATCAAAAGTTGTATTTTTTCAGAAGTTAATGAGCCAAAATATAGAATGACATAAAAAAAATTGACAAAAGTCAAACCACAAACATAAACATGATAAAGATCAACATAATTACAAACTGTTGACTCTTGAAATTATGCTCTTGGATGACAATGTCAAATTGACTAGTTTAACTGTTGGCCAATTGAACAACAAAATAAATGTTTATCGTTTATTGATTATGTAATATATATATTGGATTTATAATCAATATTTCATTGTACAATTTATCAGTACATTTATGTGTGCTTGAAGTGAAAATATATGAGACACTAGCAGCTCAGTCCTACGATGGAAGTAAAATTTTTCACCTATTTCAGTGAGGGGTACAAATTATAAAAGTTATTTTTTAATACTTACTTGAAGTTGTAACTATTGTATACTTGTATATTATCAGTAAGTTAGCCAGATTTAACATTCTTTTCAATGATTCTAATAGCTATCCTTTACACTTCTTCAAAAATTTACTCATAAATACAAATATCTTTTTTTTTACAACACCTGAATATCTCAAGTTTTGGGAGGTCAGAACATGCCTCAAATATTTTTTCCTGGCTTGTGTAGTCGTTTAATTAGATTGATTGATTGATGGTAGCTTAACGTTCAGTGGTAAATATTTCATGTTCATGTGCGTTCAGGACCAGAACGAATGAACACTACATACAATAGGTAATTCCTGTAAACAGGGTGGACATGGTAATTTGGACTGCAACTAGAAAATGAGGGTAAATGAGAAGGGACTGAAATTAAGCCTTGTGACAGGCCACCTACGGACCCCACTTTTAATTATGTATACCATAAATCGTAATCTTTTACCATATTAATATTTTAGATCATCAAAACAGAAATGTATGTACATGTATGAACAATATTTCAATTTTGAAGGAAAATATATGGATTTGAATTGGGAGATTTGAGGATTTTAAGACAAATTTAAGAAAGTTTTCCCCCAATTTTATGATCTTTCTATATAAATGTTCACCTTTTTTGAAAGAATTCATTGAAAAACATTTTCTAAAAATAAAAGAGATTTTTTTCGATTTTCAGTTTCAACGAGCCAAAGTTGTAAACATGCAAAATTTTTCTAAAATCTGTGACAAAACCCATTTTAATGTACCTTGACCTTAAATTAATTTAGTGGTTTCAGACCCCTTAAAATAAAAAAAATCAAATAATGGGTGGAAATACCCATTTGAAAGCAATAACTCTGGACATCTAACAGAAACGGACAAAAAGAAGATGGGATGGACAAACAACCCGACGGACAAGGTGATTCCTATATACCCCCCACAAACAAAGGTTGTGGGGGGTATAATAAGGAGATGTAAACCTATGGCCTTTAAGAACACCATTACTCTTAACACTGACACAAGTCATACATTGAAAGTAGTTTATTATTAAATTACACATACACATACACATACATGTACATGTTGTCTGGCACGGGACAGTATCACCCATGAGTGAGTTCCACTCAGCGAACTATCAATTACCACAAGAGAAACCTCAAGGTAACCACAGAGGGTAAAGGAGGTGATTATAAAGGTAAAACAAACTTTACCACCATACAAATGATCTTCACCACTTCCTTACCTTGTTATTTAAGTACCCTGATAGCACATTTACAACCCACTGATTATGTATACTTATTTAAATAAGGTTTCCGGTTTTTATTTCTGTTTAGTATTTTAATACATTATAAATAAATTGATGGTACATTCACCCTATCATTAATTAAATAACCCGTAAGATGTCCATTCAAACATCACTCCTTGCTCCCCCTTGAAGTATCAGCATAATTCACAAGTAATAAGTATCAACTTAAATATAAACATAAACTATTATGATATTTCACAGTCATTGGGTATTTTTTATTCATTCAAAAAATGCACTCCCTCATGACACGTAACATTGGTACACTATAAACCAAAGGTTAGCTCCGTCTTTGGCAATTAATTTAGACAACTGTAAAAAAAAAGTAAAGCCCAATTTATCATATATACAGGTCAACAGTCTCAGTGCAGTACTCTTGTACTAAACTACTGTGCAATCCATTTCTTTTGTCCTCCAAAATAATTATTAGAAATCAAAGATTTTTTTTTTAAACATAATTAAATTATCAATAGCTAGTTTTTTTTAAATTTTCTTTATTCAAATGAAAAACAAGTGATAGGGGTGGATTTACATCATTGTACAAATGTATAATGAAATACTGAGAAATACAAAAGGTATATCCAAGGAATGATTTGACAGGTGTTTATATTAACAGTACATGTATGTACATAGATTTCACTTCTGAAAAATTTAGTCCTTACACTTGAGTTATACGTGTACATAATTTAGCACATTTCTATATTGCAAAATACATTCAATACATGTATATACAGTACATGCACAACCTCAAAACTTAGAAGTCAATTACTTGACAATGCTAGAATTATGAAAATTCTTTTAATCATGTAATAAAGTTTCGGAGATTTTTATGTCCCAATATAACTCAAACTTTATAAAAATTCGTAAGGGTTCCGCGGAACCCAGTGTCTCGCCTACTTTTGCTGTTAATCGCAGGCTCAACAAAAATGAGGAAAAAAATAAATAAAAATATTCCTCTCTATACTATCTTTTGATTGTTAGTAGCTTCTGTCCAAGTTTGGTAAAAATCCATGATAGTTTATGAATCTAATAAATGTTTTAAAAACTTAAACTGCAGACTGTATGTAATGTTAACTGGAAGAAAAACAAAGTCCATTTATAAGTAAAATACGGAAAAAATCAAACAAAATTTTAACAAAATTTCCTTCTAGATACTAGCTTTTAATCATAAACAAGCTTCTGTCCAAGTTTGGTACAAATCCAGGATAGTTTAAGAAAGTTGTTAAAATTTTAAAAACTTTAACCACTGAGTGAATGTAATGTTAACTGGCAGAAAAACTTAAGTCCATTTATAAGTAAAATACGGAAAAAATGGATTTTTTTTTTTACAAAATTTACTTCTGGATACTATCTTATGATCATAAACAAGCTTCTTTCCATGTTTGGTAGAAATCCAGGATAGTTTAAGAAAGTAATTAAAATTTCAAAAACTTCAACCACAGAGTGAATGTAATGTTTCTTGGCAGAAAAACTAAGTCCATTTATAAGTAAAATACGGAAAAAATGGATTTTTTTTTTTACAAAATTTACTTCTGGATACTATCTTATGATCATAAACAAGCTTCTTTCCAAGTTTGGTAGAAATCCAGGATAGTTTAAGAAAGTTATTAAAATTTCAAAAACTTTAACCACAGAGTGACTGTAATGTTTCTTGGCAGAAAAACTAAGTCCATTTATAAGTAAAATACGGAAAAAATGGATTTTTTTTTTTACAAAATTTACTTTTGAATATTATCTTATGATCATAAACAAGCTTCTGTCAAAGTTTGGTAGAAATCCAGTATAGTTTAAGAAAGTAATTAAAATTTCAAAAACTTTAACCACAGAGTGAATATTTGTGGACGCCGCCGCCGCCGACGGAATGTAGGATCGCTATGTCTCGCTTTTTCGACAAAAGTCGAAGGCTCGACAAAAATTATAAAGCATACTTTATATCCCCATATAAGGCAAAGTCTAGGCTATATCTCAGTTGTGACGGTATATAGCTACATGTAGGTGATTTATGGAATTATGAGTAGAAATATTATCCTTTCAATAATTATAAAGTAATCAAAAGAAGCATGCACTGAAAAAACAGTTTCCAGGGACTTAACTTAACTGGTTTTCTCCAGGGGCCAGCTGGGCCCCCAAAATATTATTTTCAGGGGCCCAGTTAAAATTTAAGGGCCCAACCAATTTTTTATACTAATAAAAATAAACTTAAATGTACTTTCTTTATACTAATAAAAACTTTTTAGGTAATTCTCTATGTAGCTTTTGAGTCTGGTAAGGATTATGTGTGATATTTGAATTATTGCCACCAGAAATATATCATAAGATTTGACAACACTGATTTTAGTACATTTCCCACCTATCAAACTAGATATTTTGATATTTATTCACGAGATTTTGCTGTTAGTTTTTCCTTGACGATTTTGTAAATAGCGATGCATGGACAAGTTATCATCAAATTCTATGGACACTGTGTCTTGCATTCAACTGCTGCTGTCAGTGCAAAAGTGTTGTGTTGAGTATCAATAGAAAAGGTAAAGTGATCAATAAAATACAACAAGAGTGCACACGCTGAAATGTCTCGCCTTCTTTACTAATCATTGATATTATGTTGATAGTCCTAAATATAAAGCTTTATTACAACTGTCACATAAACTTAACATTAACCAAGTAAACTAAACATTGACCAATGAACCATGAAAATGAGGTCAAGGTCAGATGAACCATGCTAGGCAGGCATATACAGCTAACAATTCTTCCATACAACAAATATAGTTGACCTATTGCTTATATTTTAAGAAAAACAGACCAAAACACAAAAACTTAACACTGAGCAATGAACCTTGAAAATGAGGTCAAGGTAAAAAATAAAATGCTTCGCTGGGCGCAGCTTGATACGACCTCAGAAGTTGAACCCTGAACAGTTGGGGCAAGTATGGACACAACATTCCAAGCTGGATACAGCTCTGAATTTGGATTTTGAATAAATATTTGACACAGCATAGGTTTCTGACACAGAAAGAATGTGGTCTAAGTACTTGAATTTTTTTAATTTACCTATTATGGTCCAATGACCAAAATCAAAATACATGGTTAGATTCAGCATATCAAAGATCCCCATATATTCAATTTTTGTTGAAATCAAACAAAGTTTAATTTTGGACCCCAACTTGGACAAACTTGAAAACTGGGCCCATAATCAAAAATCTAAACACGTTTAGATTCAGCATATCAAAGAACCCCAAGAATTCAATTTTTGTTAAAATCAAACTAAGTTTAATTTTGGACCCTTTGGACCTTAATGTAGACCAATTTAAAAAAACGGGACCCAAAATTAAAAATCTAAATACACGGTTAGATTTGGAATATCAAAGAACCCCAATAATTCAATTTTTGATGAAATCAAACAAAGTTTAATTTTGGACCCTTTTGACCTCAATATGAACCAATTTGATAGCGGGGCCCACAAATAAAAAATCTAAAAACATGGTTAGATTCAGCATATCAAAGAACCCCATATCTCCATTTTTGTTGAAATCAAACAAAGTTTAATTTTGGACCCTTTGGACCTTAATGTAGACCAATTTGAAAACTGGACCCAAAATTAAAAATCTAAATACACGGTTAGATTCGGCATAACAAATAAATAAATGTGGTCAAAGATTTTACAAATCTAATGTGCCATACTGTGCCATTAAAGATTACTTCTTGAAATTTTTCAATATTTGAAATTTGAAAAAAAAAAAAATATTTGAAGAATAATTCTTTTTAATTTCTGAAATCTGAAATGCGAAAAAATTGACCCCCCACAATTTCTTTTTACCCCCCCCCCCCCCTTTTTTCCCCCAAAAAATTCTTTCCCTCAAGATATGGTCATAATCTCAATTCAAATTTCCAATGGAGTTTGCAACCATAATTACCCATTTAAATTTACCATAGTGCTAACTTAATCTATTTTATAATAGAATTTAAAATATAGTGTCAAATCTTTCATATGGATTTTTTTGTAAAAAAAAAAGATGCAACATTTGCAGATATTTTTACTGGTCTTCCTTTATAAATATGCATTTATTTAAACATAATTTAAAAACAGTGTAAGGGAAGTAACCAAAACGTTGTATTTGGATTACCTCCCTTACACTGTTTTAAATTATCTTAACTGTTCATTAACCATTACTTTATACATAATTTAAAAGCAGTGTAAGGGAGATAATTTCAATGATGTATTTGAATTATCTCCCTTACACTGCTTTAAATTATGTTTTGTACTAAAGTATTTGTCCATTAACCAGGACAACCTTGTTTTTCCCCCTTTTTTGCCCCTAATTCCTTAACTGTTTGAGCCATAACCCCCCAAAGCAAATCCTAACCATCCCTTTGTGGTATGGAAACTTGTAGTATAATTTCAGAGAGATCCATACACCGTTCCACAGTTATTGTCTAGAAACTAAAAAATGCTTATTTTAAACCCCTTTTTAGGCCCCTTATTACTAAACGTTTTGGGCAATTACCACAACACTCAATTCCAGCTTTCCCTTTGTGAAATGGAACCTTGTAGTAAAATTTCAGAAAGATCCATACACTTACACACAAGTTATTGTCATGAAACTAGAAAAATGCTTGTTTTTTGCCCCCTTTTGGCCCCTTATTCCTAAAATTTTGAGGCAATTAACCCCAAAATCAATCCCAGCATTGACCCTTTGTGATATGGAATCTTGTGGTACAATGTCAAGGAGATCCATATGCTAACACACAAGTTATGTCTGGAAGTTACAAAAATGCTTATTTTCGGCCCCTTTTTGGCCCCTAATTCCTTAACTGTTGGTACCATAACCCCTAAAATCAATCCAAACCTTCCTATTGTGGTATTTAACCTTATGGTAAAATTTCAAAGAGATCCATTCACTTAAACTAAAGTTAGAGTGCGAAAACCAAAGTGTCTTCGGACGACGACGCCAACGTCATACCAATATAAGACCGCAAAAAATTTTTGCGGTCGTATAAAAACCTGCGTGACTGACAAATAGATCATAAAATATTTCCATACACCAAATATAGTTGAACTATTGCATATAGTTTTAGAAAAAAAGACCAAAACTCAAAAACTTAACTTTGACCACTGAACCATGAAAATGAGGTCAAGGTCAGATGACACCTGCCAGCTATACATGTACACCTTACAATTATTCCATACACCAAATATAGTAGACCTATTGCATACAGTATAAGAAAAACAGACCAAAACACAAAAACTTAACTATAACCACTGAACCATGAAAATGAGGTCAAGGTCAGATGACACCTGCCAGTTGGACATGTACACCTTACAGTCCTTCCATACACCGAATATACTAGACCTATTGCTTATAGTATCTGAGATATGGACTTGACCACCAAAACTTAACCTTGTTCACTGATCCATGAAATGAGGTCAAGGTCAAGTGAAAACTGTCTGATGGGCATGAGGACCTTGCAAGGTAGGCACATACCAAATATAGTTATCCTATTACTTATAATAAGAGAGAATTTAACATTACAAAAAATCTTAACTTTTATTTCAAGTAGTCACTGAACCATGAAAATGAGGTCAAGGACATTGGACATGTGACTGACGGAAACTTCGTAACATGAGGCTTCCATATACAAAGTATGAAGCATCCAGACCTTCCACCTTCTAAAATATAAAGCTTTTAAGAAGTTATCTAACGCCGCCGCCGGATCACTATCCCTATGTTGAGCTTTTTTTGTCGCAGGCTCAACAAAAATCATAGCATCGTCAGCGCTATCATCCAGCAAATTTTTTAGGAAGTCAGACGTTTTTTAAATCTTATTTTCAATATTTATTTCTTAATATTAACTCCTGAATTGTCCTGTGAGACATTTTAAGTTGGGATAAGTGATTTTGGCCAAAAATTTGTATTCGGACAAAATTTCTAATAAAAAAAAAATAGATGGAAAGAAGATACCAAGGGAGAGTCTAAAAGGACAAGTGTAATAAATGCAGTGAACACAAGGAGTGAAAGGTAGCACTTCATGTTTTATTATTATTTCACTAAAAAATTACCATAGTATCATTTTTATTTTACATTCAATAAAATGCTTCGCTGGGGCGCAGCTTGATACGACCGCAGAGGTCGAACCCTGAACAGTTGGGGCAAGTATGGACACAAAATTCAAGCTTGATACAGCTATGACTTTGGATTGTCATTAAATATTTGACACAGCATAGGTTTCTGACACAGGATGAATGTGGTGTAAGAACTTTAAAAAAATTTAATTTACCTATTATGGTGGAATATCCATAAACTAAATTGTTTGTTAATTTCAATATATCAAAGAATATGTAGAATTCAATGTTTGATGTAATGTAATAAAGTTGAAATTTGGACCGTTTTTGTTCAATGTGGACCAATTTGGTAACATGTATAAATAATCAAAAATCTAAATACATGGGAGCCCATTTAAATACATCATAAAGGTATTAAAATAGAAAGTGACATCATAGTCATGGCTAAAAATAAACAAAAATCCTTAATCAGCAACATTTAAAGTAATATCTAAAAATAAAATTCCTTTGTAACCATAAAAGTCCATTTAAATACATCATAAAGATATTAAAATAGAAAATGACATCATAGTCATGGCTAAACATAGCAAAAAACCCTTAATCAGCATCATTTAACAGTAATATCTAAAAATGGAAATTACATCATAAAGGTATTAAAATAGAAAATGACATCATAGTCATGGCTAAAAATAAACAAAATCCTTAATCAGCATCAGCAACATTTTATAGTAATATCTAAAAATAAAATTCCTTTGTAACCATAAAAGCCCATTTAAATACATCATAACAGATATTAAAATAGAAAATGACATCATAGTCATGGCTAAACATAGCAAAAACCTTAATCAGCATCATTTAACAGTAATATCTAAAAATAAAAATTTCTTTGCAACCATAAAAGTAAAATAGAAAATGACATCATAATCATAGCTAAAAATAAACAAAAATTTTTTTTATTGGCAAATTTTAAATGGAGTTTATTATACTAAAACAATAAATTTGCAACCATAAACATGATAAAACCCCATTTAAACACATCATAAAAGTATTAAATAATTCAACTACATCATAAGGCTATAAAAATAGAAAATGACTTCATAGTCAAGGCTAAAGGTAAACAAAAAACCTTCATCAGCAAAATTTTATATTGGCAAATTTCCAATGAAGTTTATTACACTAAAATTGTTGGCAAATTTCCAATGCATTTATTAACAATAAAGTTATTGGCAAATTTCCAATTTACATAATTTAAAAGCAGTGTAGATGAGATATTTAAATGAGTTTGAATTACCAACCTTACACTGCTTTTAAATAATGTTCTTTACTCAATTATTTGTCTATTAAAATGGAAACCCTTGTTTTTTAACCTTTTTTCCCCTTATTCCTTAAACATTAGAGCCATAACCCCCCCCCCCAAAGCCAATTATTACTTTCCAATGTAACCTAAATTTCCAATATACATAATTTTAAATTTCAGTTCCTCATGATATATAACCGTATCATTATTATTTTCTTTCATATATAAATCTGAAACAACCATCTTTAAATGGAAAATTTTAAAGAAAAAAAAGGAAAAAAAAAAATCCTACCCCCCACACATTTTTTCAACCCCCTTTTGATTCATCATCCCCCACCTCAATCACAACCTTCAATTTGTGGTATGGTACATTGCAATACAATTTCACAGAGATCCATACACTTGAACACAACTTTTTGTTGCAAACTAAAAAAATCCTTATTTTCGACCAATATTTGGCCCCTTATTCATAAATGTTTGAGCAATTAACCCCAAAACTCAATTCCTACTTTCTCTTCGTGATAAAAAATAACTAACTTAAAATGTAAATTTTAAACAAAAAAAAAAGGAAAAAAAAAAATTACCCCTTTTTTGACCCCCGCCCCCCTTTCCCCCCAAACCAAGCTCAATAACAGCCTTGCCTTTGTGGTATGGTACCTTGTAATACAATTTTAGAGAGATCCATACACTTGAACACAAGTTATTGTCTAGAAACTAAAAAATGCTTATTTTAAACCCCTTTTTAGGCCCCTTATTACTAAACGTTTTGGGCAATTACCACAACACTCAATTCCAGCTTTCCCTTTGTGAAATGGAACCTTGTAGTAAAATTTCAGAAAGATCCATACACTTACACACAAGTTATTGTCATGAAACTAGAAAAATGCTTGTTTTTTGCCCCCTTTTGGCCCCTTATTCCTAAAATTTTGAGGCAATTAACCCCAAAATCAATCCCAGCATTGACCCTTTGTGATATGGAATCTTGTGGTACAATGTCAAAGAGATCCATATGCTAACACACAAGTTATGTCTGGAAGTTACAAAAATGCTTATTTTCGGCCCCTTTTTGGCCCCTAATTCCTTAACTGTTGGTACCATAACCCCTAAAATCAATCCCAACCTTCCTATTGTGGTATTAAACCTTAGGGTAAAATTTCATAGAGATCCATTCACTTAAACTAAAGTTAGAGTGCGAAAACCATTGTATATTCGGACGACGACGACGACGACGCCAACGTCATACCAATATACGACCTCAAAATTTTTTTGCGGTCGTATAAAAATCAACTCTTTCAGCTCATGAAATTCTGAAGAAAAAAAATTTACTTTGTCTGAGGTAAAATGTATCTCTGGTAATCAAAGTGATTTAAATCACTGATTGAAAGACTGGAAGAATTGTATGCAAATCATATTCTGAGGTATTGTGGTGCACATAGAAATAAAATGCTTCGCCGAGCGCAGCCTGATACGACCGCAGAGGTCGAACCCTGAACAGTTGGGGTAAATTTGGACACAATATTCATTTGGATTGTGATCAAAATGTTGACATAATATAGGTTTCTGACACAAAATAAATGTGGTCAAAGATCTTAAAAATTTGAAATGGGACATTTAATTTACCAAGTATGGTCTGATATCCAAAATCTAACAACATGGTTAGATTCAGCATATATAAATGGGGAATGTGTCCATGGGACACAGATGATGCCCGTGCTTGCATATAACGTTATAAAGGGACATATCTCAAGAACTGTAAAAGTGAAGCTACCTAAATTTGTACTTGATCTGAGTTTTGTGGTAATAAGCATTGTGTATAAGTTTCATAACATTTAGTAGAGGCAAACTGAAGTTAGAGAACGGAAACGAAAAATTCAGCAATTTTTCCATTTGTAAAGGGGCATAACTCTAGAACGGTTTAAGTGATGCCACCAAAATTCAAACTTGATCCGTGTTTTGTGGTAATAAGCATTGTGTATAAGTTTCATAACATTTGGTTAAGGCGAACTAAAGTTAAAGAACGGAAACGAAAAATTCAGCAATTTTTTCCATTTGTAAAGGGGCATAACTCTAGAATAGTAAAAGTGACGCAACCCAAATTCAAACTTGACCTGGGTTTTGTGGTAATAAGCATTGTGTATAAGTTTCATTTCATTTGGTTGAGGCAAACTAAAGTTAAAGAACGGAAACCAATTTTGGGACATATGGACAGACGTACGTACAGACAGACATGGGTAAAACTTAATTCCACCTTCGCTACGGCGGAGACTGGTTAAAAAACAACCAAAATTTAATTTTAGTTGAAATCAAACAAAGTTTAATTTTGGACCCTTCAAACCTTAATATGGACTAATTTGAAAACAGGGCCCAAAATAAAAAATCTAAATGCACAATAAGATTCAGCATATTAAGAGCCGCAATAATTCAGTTTTTGATGAAATCAAACAAAGTTTAATTTTGGACCCTTTGGACCTCAATGTAGACCAATTTAAAAATTGGGCCCAATATCCAAAATAGTAATACAAGGTTAGAAACCCCACAAATTAAAGTCTTAATTTAATCCCATTGAAATTGATTCAAAGATTTGTATTTATTTTCAATTTAAGATTACTTTCTATTGCGCAATACTGTGCTGTTGCACAATACTTAGTTAATCTGTTATACATTGTATATAATAATTTACACACCCTGTATGGTGTGTATCTCCTGCCATATCAGTATTTGTTGCTTTTATATATAAATCAGAAATAATCAATGTAAAAATGAAAAATTTTGGGGGAAAAAAAAACAAAAAATTATGAAAAAAAAATCCCCCCAAAAAATTTATCCCCCCCTAAATTTTTTTTTTGAAAAATCTTGAAAAAAGTATGAACCCCCTAAAAAAAAAATTGAAACCCCCCCACCACAAATTTTGAAGAAAAAAAAATATGAATTTTTGGAAATTTTGAAGTTAATTTTCTTTTCAGGAAAAATGTACAATTTCAGAGTTCCATAAACTTTAACACAAGTTATTGTCTGGAAACTAGAACAAGAGTGGACACGCTGAAATGTCTCGCCTTCTTTACCAATCATTGATATTATGTTGATAGTCCTAAATATAAAGCTTTATTACAACTGTCACATAAACTTAACATTAACCAAGTAAACTAAACATTGACCAATGAACCATGAAAATGAGGTCAAGGTCAGATGAACCATGCTAGGCAGGCATATACAGCTAACAATTCTTCCATACAAGAAATATAGTTGACCTATTGCTTATAGTATGAAAAACAGGCCAAAACACAAAAACTTAACACTGAGCAATGAACCTTGAAAATGAGGTCAAGGTGAAAAAAACCTGCGTGACTGACAAATAGATCATAAAATATTTCAATACACCAAATATAGTTGAACTATTGCATATAGTATAAGAAAAAAAGACCAAAACTCAAAAACTTAACTATAACCACTGAACCATGAAAATGAGGTCAAGGTCAGATGACACCTGCCAGCTAGACATGTACACCTTACAATCATTCCATACACCAAATATAGTTGAACTATTGCATACAGTATAAGAAAAACAGACCAAAACACAAAAACTTAACTGTAACCACTGAACCATGAAAATGAGGTCAAGGTCAGATGACACCTGCCAGCTAGACATGTACACCTTACAGTCCTTCCATACACCAAATATAGTAGACCTATTGCATACAGTATAAGAAAAACAGACCAAAACACAAAAACTTAACTATAACCACTGAACCATGAAAATGAGGTCAAGGTCAGATGACACCTGCCAGCTAGACATGTACACCTTACAGTCCTTCCATTCACCAAATATAGTACACCTATTGCATACAGTATAAGAAAAACAGACCAAAACACAAAAAACTTAACTATAACCACTGAACCATGAAAATGAGGTCAAGGTCAGATGACACCTGCCAGCTAGACATGTACACCTTACAGTCCTTCCATACACCAAATATAGTAGACCTATTGCATACAGTATAAGAAAAACAGACCAAAACACAAAAACTTAACTATAACCACTGAACCATGAAAATGAGGTCAAGGTCAGATGACACCTGCCAGTTGGACATGTACACCTTACAGTCCTTCCATACACCAAATATAGAAGACCTATTGCTTATAGTATCTGATATATGGACTTGACCACGAAAACTTAACCTTGTTCACTGATCCATGAAATGAGGTCGAGGTCAGGTGAAAACTGTCTGACGGGCATGAGGACCTTGCAAGGTACACACATATTAAATATAGTTATCCTATTATTCATAATAAGAGAGAAATTAACATTACAAAAAATCTTAACTTTTTTTTCAAGTAGTCACTGAACCATGAAAATGAGGTCAAGGACTTTGGACATGTGACTGACGGAAACTTCGTAACATGAGGCATCCATATACAAAGTATGAAGCATCAAGACCTTCCACCCTCTAAAATATAAAGCTTTAAAGAAGTTAGCTAACGCCGCCGCCGGATCACTATCCCTATGTCGAGCTTTCTGCGACAAAAGTCGCAGGCTCTACAAAAATGCTTGTTTTTGGCCCCTTTTTTGCCCCTTATTTCTAAACGTTTGGGGCAATTACCCCCAAACTCAATCCCAGCCTTCCCTTTGTGGTATGTAACCTTATAGTACAAATTCAGAGAGATCTATACACTTAAACACAAGTTATTGTCTTTAAACTAGAAAAATTCGTAATGGTTCCGCAGAACCAAGTGTCTCGCCTACTTTTTCTGTTAATCGCAGGCTCAACAAAAATGAGGAAGTAAATCAATAAAAATATTCTTCTTGATACTATCTTTTGATTGTAAGAAGCTTCTGTCCAAGTTTGGTAAAAATCCAGGATAGTTTATGAATCTAATAAATGTTTAAAAACTTTAACTGCAGACTGAATGTAATGTTAACTGGAAGAAAACAAAAATTTCCTTCTTGATACTAGCATTTGATCATAAACAAGCTTCTGTCCAAGTCTGGTACAAATCCAAAATAGTACAAGAAAGTTATTAAAATTTTAAAAACTTTAACCACAGAGTGAATGTGTTGTTTCCTGGCAGAAAATCTTAAGTCCATTTAAAAGTAAAATACGGAAAAATGGGTTTATTTTTTTTACAAAATTTCCTTCTAGATACTAGCTTTTGATCATAAACAAGCTTCTGTCCAAGTTTGGTACAAATCTAAAATAGTATAAGAAAGTTATTAATATTTTAAAAACTTTAACCACAGAGTAAATGTGTTGTTTCCTGGCAGAAAATCCAAGTCCATTTAAAAGTAAAATAAGGAAAAAATGGATTTTTTTTTTTTACAAAATTTACTTCTGGATACTATCTTATGATCATAAACAAGCTTCTGTCCAAGTTTGGTAGAAACCCAGGATAGTTTAAGAAAGTTATTAAAATTTTAAAAACTTTAACCACAGAGTGAATGTAATATTTCCCAGCAGAAAAACTAAGTCCATTTATAAGTAAAATACTGAAAAAATGGAATTTTATTTTTACAAAATTTACTTCTGGATACTATCTTATGATCATAAACAAGCTTCTGTCCAAGTTTGGTAGAAATCCAGGATAGTTTAAGAAAGTTATAAAAATTTCAAAAACTTTAACCAAAGAGTGAATATTTGTGGACGCCGCCGCCGCTGACGGAATGTAGATCGCTATGTCTCGCTTTTTCGACTACAGTCGAAGGCTCAAAAAAAATGTTTTTATATAGATTAGACCGTTGGTTTTTCCGTTTGAATGGTTTTATACTAGTAATTTTTTGGGGCCCTTTATAGCTTGCTGTTCGGTGTGAGCCAATGCTCCGTGTTGAAGGCCGTACCCTGACCTATAATGGTTTACTTTTATAAATTGTAACTTGGATGGAGAGTTGTCTCATTGGCACTCATACCACATCTTCCTATATCTATTGTTTTTGGCCCCTTTTTCCTGAACGTTTGGGGCAATTACCCCCAAACTTAATCCCAGCCTTCCCTTTGTGATATGGAACCTTGTGGTACAATTTCAGAGAGATCCATACACTTACACACAAGTTATTGTCCGGAAACTACAAAAATGCTTGTTTTTGGCCCCTAATTCCTAAACTGTTGGTACCATAACCCCCTAAATCAATCCCAACCTTCCTTTTGTGGTATTGAACCTTCTTGTAAAATGTCACAGAGATCCATTCACTTAAACTAAAGTTATTGTCCTGAAACCAAATATGTCTTCGGACGACGACGATGGCATAATATGAACGCAAATTTTTTGCGGTTGTATAAAAACTTGATATATCGTTATTGAGAATTGTTTTCATTTTAACCAGAATGTAATCCAAAACTAATCAGGATTACAAGGTATTACAAAAGTAATTGATTAAATTAAATTACATGTAATCAGATTTTTTTGGCAGATTAATGATTACAATGAATACTTGAAAAATTGTAATCAATTACAGCTGATTAATGATTACAATTACAATTACCCCAAGTCAGATTGAAAAGACACTTTTTCAATAACAACAAAATATTAAATAAACACTTTTCTAAAATTTAAATTGGTATTGATTTTACTTTGAGAAAAAAATACCAAATACTGTTAAATAGCAATATAATGGAATAACCAAGGAGGTTATATGAGAAGGAGAGAGGACGAAATACACTAATTACACATAAAATGTTACAGCCTTTTCTGTAAGTGGGTGTTAAATAGTTGAGATTGATTTTGGTCACTGAGTGAGACTTTGTCCTAATTACACATTCGAGTAAGAATTTAAACACACAAAGTGTTATAAACCGACAGATTTTATAAAATAAGCCTGAGATCATGATTCAATTCTCACAGAGACTAATAGTGTTATAGTAGTTTCAGATTCTAGACAGTATATATATAGCCTTACTTATGAGAAGTGAAGGTTTGGCCAGGATACCAGGCTATTGAACCCAATTCAATAGTACACGGATGCCACACTCGCACTATCATTTTCTATGTTCAGTGGACCGTGAAATTGGAGTCAAAACTTTTCGCGTACTCTCAATAAATTTCCCTTTGTTTCAATTACAAATACTCGCTCCAGTCGCAACAGGTCACCGTAACAAAAGTACCTCACATATTCCTCTATATTCTATATTACCTACCAATTATCATTGGCAAGTGAAGCAAAAAATTTGTTTAAAGTAAGGAGGGGTTCAATAGAAATTGCATTCTTAAATTTCTTTAAACCCTCATAACTTTGTCATTTGTTAGTCGATTTTCAATGTAGTTGGAATTTCGCATCAAATGATATTGCACAATAAACACACATTTAAACTGATTAGTATAGATAATTACATCTGTATTCTAATGACCCAGTCACTGATTAGAATCACGTGACATTAGCGATTCTCCTGATCACACGGACTGTTCGCGGTAACAGCCTAGTACATCAGAGGGCAATATCAAGTGGGTGATAAACTTGTCGGTTTCTTTATATTTTTATCATTTTCCTCTGTTTGAATTGCTATCTTTGATGTGCTAATTTTATATCAAACAGAGTGTTCCTCTCCTTCTCATATAACCTCCTTGCTTAAAATAACCTAAATTATCGACTTATATCAGTTGATTATGATACTGATTTTACAAATAAAATAGACCCTGCTTGAATTATTTTTATTGATCGGCACTTATTTTCGAACTCATCCAAGACATTGCTGATATAAACCTATGATACAAGTTTCATAAAAATCAAGAATTGTTCTTGTGATAGAGCTATTAAGACTAGACGGAACAGGCAGATGGACAACAGACCCCTGTTATTTCTATGTCCCCCGCAACGCATGGCTGGATCAAAAATGATTAAGGATTTAGAATACACATAAAATAAGTTCAGACGAAACTAGAATGTTTCTTTCGGCCAAATATAAATATATGTGTGGTTCCAGTTAACCAACTGACCCTTAACTTTTCCCCCTTTTCAACATTCACTTCCAGTTTTTTTTTCCTAAATTGGGTCTGATGCACATGAGGCTTCTGGTTTTATAATGAAAAATAAACAATCATGGCTGCGCACATGTTGACAGCTATGAGTTTGCTGGAAACAAGATTTAAGAAATGCCAGCATATGGAGGAAAAAAACGCAATCATGTGTCAAGAGGAGTCGAACATTTACAAATGTATATGAATATACCACACTTTGGGTGCAAAGTGAAAAAAAGGTAAAAGAAAATCATTTGAATAATAAGCATACAACAAACAACAACATACCATACATATTAGATACACACCTTGACCTAAAGGATGTTTCAACAAAAAAAAAAAAAAGAAAAAAAAAGAATCCTACAATCATGACAATGTACCTACCTAGTGACGTTACCGACACCTTTTTTTTCAGGACTGGAACCACACATCTATTGTGTTTGCCCTTATCGATCCTTATCGTGTTATAATTTATTTTTGGGTAACTCTAAAAGATATGATTTGAACATTAAAATGGTGGACATAGAGAAAATATTCCTGAACTATCAGGACTATTCATGATACTGCTCTATGCACTGAATCTTTTCTGAAATATGTTTCAGTTCAAAAATATACATATCAAAAACTCGACAAGATGGCAATATTATATACATCTAATTCATAGGTCATGTAGCTATATATAGCTATAGGTAAAGGGGGCCAAATGACTGAAAATGTAGTATTTGAGAGTTTTTTTGTAAAAGGGCAATATGAGCTCTTTTCCTCAAATACAAATTTATGTGCCTTTAAAATTAGTATAAATAGTAAAAACATGTACATCTTATCATTATTAAATATTTAAATGAATTTGACTTTGAAAACATTTGATCAGCATTAAACAAGTCTTATGTTCATCTGGTCAGTCAGATTCTATTTGTGACAATAAAGAGTATTCCATTTAGTTTGAGGGTTGTTGACTTCATAACAATTTTCATGGAAAAGTTTAAGACTGATAACTAATATATAACTGCACTTATGATTTATTAAGTACAGCAAATTGTATATTTACCTTGTAGAAGTTCCTTTACGAATATCACACATATCACATTTATAAGCTTCTGGGGAATTTCTGTAGGTACACACACTACACTCCCAAAATCCATCTTCAGGAGGCTTCTGTCGCTTAGATCTGAAAAAAAACCAACATAAATTCTTATATTTCTTTTAAATTTAATTAAAATAAATTATGTAGAACAATGTACATGTATATATCAAGCATTTCAAATCTATCTTTCAACTGCTTTACATGTACCCTGTACATACATGTACACAGATGTAAAAGAAACCAAGATGGTTAAATATTGATTTAAAACAGCAATAAACTACTTTAAAGTGAATTAGAGTCACCATTGTTTACATTTGTACATGCATGTACAAGAGAAAAGCTTTGCTGATTAGGACAGAATTTTGCCAGTTTACATAATCTTTCAAAAAACCATCAGACACAACATGTATGAGGATGGTTTTCCCCCTATGATAACCTTCAATCAGCACCATTAGCAATTACCGGTACTGGCATGGCGTATAATTAACTTTTTTATTTTGTCTAATGGGGGGGGGGGGGGGGGGGTTCTCTTGTTCACTCGTCCTACATTATAAATAAAGTTATATGACCCTGAGGGTGTGACATCAGCTGTTCATATTTGATATATGTTTATAAATTTGAAAATATGACACAGATTTGAGGCCTTATCTTTTTTAACGGACATAGATTAGTAATTGATGTCACGATGGGGCACAGATTTGAAAAACGTACACAGATTTTAGGCCGTACACAGATCTGAGGTTTACATTTATACATATATATATACTATGATTTATTATATCTTTCCCTTATAATTGACTGCAACAAGTCTTATGAGCAAATAAGGGAGTATGGGTAGGAGATAATATACATATTTATATCTGTATAGCAATTTGATTTTATTTGGCATTTATGGAAGTCCTTGTCAGATTTTTTTAAAATTCAAATTGAAAGATAAAATCCAATAAAACTGAATGGAAGTATTTTCAAATTAGGGAAAGGGCTTGGCAGAAACAAATGATCATGATGACATGCTCACATGTATTTGTACAAGACCAAAGATACATGTATTACTTTGTTTTTTAGTGCAACTTATGTGCCACATCAACTGGAGGCTACTAATTATATAAGAGCCTGAAATTGCTCAATAAACAAATATATTCATCATTTAAACCCAGCGGCAGCCATCTTTCACAATCAAAGTATGATTTTGACCAGGTTTGAACCAGATCTTATCAGTCCATAGCACACCATGTCCCAATCGTATTATCTATTCTTATTTCCATGATCATTTTGAACCCTGAAATCTTGGTCAAAAGCTTAATTTGACATATATATCATGTATATATATATCTAACAGTTCACATCATAATAACCTTGTGTACTAAGTTTTAGTTGATGTGACTACAACCTACCCTAAATCAAAACTTTAACAAAAACTTTAAACTGACACAGGACAGACGGACAAAGAAACTGTAGAACATAATGCCCCTCTACTATTGTAGGTGGGGTATAAAAATTGTAGTCGTTGACATTGAAAACCCAATAAGGAGTATTGACAATTTCCATCATTTGTTTTTCTCGTAGATCTTGTTTCTCTTGTTCACAGTTTCTGATTTTTTTTAGATTGACAGATAGAATGAGGGACAGATGGACATAAGAAAACCAGTATACCCCCACCCCCACTCTATCAGATGATGATCAATGCACGATTAACAAGTAAAAGTAGACCCCAGTTGGAAATATTTATAGATTTTGGCTACAAAATGGTGAAAATGCCCTTTCACCATGTTCACAATACCCAGTATCACAGTCTGTTGGCATGGCCTATTAAACTAGAGGCTTCAAAGAGCCTGTGTTGCTCACCTGGCTGCATCTTCAACAATGGCCATTTTTTTGTAAAAAACCTCATGAAAGAGCACTAACTCTATAAAGAGTTAACTGACAATTTCAGTCATGTTGACATACTAAATGTATCTGTAGATTTTGTCCTGCTGATAATTTCTGCTTTTTAAAGTTTCTATCTACATTTGTATCTATTATACTTTTCACAAGATAATAGGCAAAAACTAATCAAAGAGCTGAAAGCTCTGAGGAAAAATGACGCCACTGTCTCTAATATTGAGATATTTTTTATGCAAGTCTTGATTTTCACATGTCGTAATAAGTTTAACATTGCAACATGTCTCGTAAGCATATAATTGATATTCGTATATGTGTCTGTTTTTTCAGTACAAATGAATAGGTCAAGACTACCTGAATGATCTACAGTATCCAATTACTACTGGCTGTTTTTTTGTATAAATAAATAGGTCAAGACTACCGGAATGATCTACAATATCCAATGACTACTGGCTGTTCTTTTGTACTAATAAAAAGGTCAAGACTATTTGAATGATCTACAATATCCAATGACTACTGGCTCTTCTTTTGTACATATAAATAAAGACTACCTGAATGATCTAAAGTATTCTAAGTAATGTGATTTTTTTCTTGCAATTACATTTTTCTAAATCAAGAATATAGACTACTAGTATCCTTTTCAAACCAAATGATTATGAAGAGCCTGTTGTTAGCAAGCTCTTATACCCCACATACTCATTAAATAAGTTACTAGTGACCTAGTTATTTCTGTTACTTGAAGCAAATTATATTTCTGTATATTTAGACAATAGTATAATATTGTTTTACTAGTTTTATTTCACCTTGAAGATTAGACAAATAGGGATACTCCTTCGATTTTTTATTTCATGTCAGTCAGGTCGCTTTATATGAAACTTGAAACCACTTCTCTGCCATATTGTTATTTTATAACAACTCTGCCCTTGACCATGTTGACCCATGTAATTGATATTCATTCTTTAACCATATATATATCATAGTCAGTTAGTTTTTGATTTTGCACTCCCACACCACCTTTCATGTCTTTCAGGTCAAATGTCTGTCTCCATTTAAGTTAATGACATTGAACAATCATGGTATTAAACACAATTTCAATAGTGATAATGATGTTCTCGTGGGTCACCATATATTCAACTTGGGTAGCATTCCAGTTATTGAAATTTGTGTCAGATTAGAACAATGATCTAGATCTTTAGGAATGGATCTTATAATTTAATATGGAGCCATAGTATGGGACCCCTACACGGTAACAAAAAAAACAAGCTTGAAAGGATACAATGTCAAGCGGCAAAATCTATCACCAGAGATTACAAGTCAAAAGAGGATGGACGGGATACGTCTCTAAAATGCTTGCTGAACTGGAACTACAGCAAGATCTCCAGACAAGACGAACAAAGCGTTGAAGCCAGAAGTTAATATTTATGTAAAAAGTAATACCATTTAATAACAAAAAACATATGGACAGGTCAAGATATCTTTTTGGTAAATAAAATAAAGTATGTAAACTGGTTCCCTTCGACTACAACACTTTGTTCGTGTGTAGCGTAATACAAGCAGATTCCAGTTAGTATGTAAAATGGTAAATATGAAACCGAGTGCGGTAGGCGGAGGCAATAATCGACTTCCGTAAGTTCTGGTCAATGGTATCGGAAACATGCCGCTGATTGCGTCATTTTCCAAACATCAAAGAGCTGATAGCTCTGAGGTGGAAGATGATGCATAAAAGGTAACTTTAATTACCATGAAAGCAGCCCACACCAACCCAGCCTGCTGTGTCCCATTATTGCTTTAACTAGAGTATGCTTGCTTGGTTTGGAACCCTCATACTGCTGAACAATGCAATAAACTTGAGATGGTTCAGCGTAGGGCTGCTAGGTATGCCTGTAATCGTTATCATAACACCAGTAGCGTTACAGACATACTCAATACTCTAAACTGGCCTACCTTACAACAACGCAGACTTAAAACTAGACTCATAATGTTCTGTAAAATTGTTCACCATATTGTCGCAGTACCATCAGAATTACTTATACCAACAGACAATAGAACCAGACAAATTCATCCACAAACTTACAGACACCTATTTAAATCTAAAGACTGTTACAAATATTCATTTTTTTTCCTTTTACAATTAATTGGTCAAGAAATAAGCAATTTATACGAAGTATCTTCTTTTGCACAATACTGTGCAATTAAATATTTCTTGCTATTGCGCAATACTGTACAATTGACAATTTCTTGCTATTGCGCAATATTGTGCTATTGGATATTTCTTGCTATTGCGCAATACTGTGCAATTGAAGATTTCTTGCTATTGCGCAATACTGTGCAATTGAAGATTTCTTGCTATTGTGCAATACTGTGCAATTGAAAATTTCTTGCTATTGCACAATACTAATTATATAATAATTTACACATCCTGTTTGGTGTGTATCTCCTACCATATCATTATTATTTTCTTTTAAATATAAATCAGAAATAACCAACTTAAAATGGAAAATTTTAAAAGAAAAAAAAAAAGGAAAAAAAAAAAAATCCCCCCCCAAATTTTTTGAACCCCCTTATGATTCATCACCCCCAAACTCAATCCCTGCCTTCCCTTTGTGGTATGGTACCTTGCAGTACAATTTCAGAGAGATCCATACACTTGAACACAAGTTATTGTCTGGAAACTAGAAAAATGTGTTTTTTGGCCCCTTTTTGGCCCCAAATTCCTAAACGTTTAGGGCAATTACCCCCAAACTCAAACCCAGCTTTCCCTTTGTGATATGGAACCTTGTAGTACAATTTCAGAAAGATCCATACACTTACACACAAGTTATTGTCCTGAAACTAGAAAAATGCTTGTTTTTGCCCCTTTTTGGCCCCTAATTCCTAAAATTTTGAGGCAATTACCCCCATCATCAATCCCAGCCTTCCCTTTGTGGTATGGTACCTTGCAGTACAATTTCAGAGAGATCCATACACTTGAACACAAGTTATTGTCTGGAAACTAGAAAAATGCTTATTTTTGGCCCCTTTTTGGCCCCCAATTCCTAAACGTTTCGGCAATTACCCCCAAACTCAATTCCAGCTTTCCCTTTGTGATATGGAACCTTGTAGTAAAATTTCAGAAAGATCCATACACTTACACACAAGTTATTGTCATGAAACTAGAAAAATGCTTGTTTTTGCCCCTTTTTTGGCCCCTAATTCCTAAAATT